CTTTTCAAAAGCAAAAATTATTCTACATTCTCTTTAATTATGACACTGCCTCCCAAACTGTTAGCTACAGTTCCAAGAATGCAATGTGAGAGAGGAACTAGCATGCACACAGTGTAAGTCCTCAAAAGTGATATCAAATTACTTTCAATATACAAGCACAGGTATCAGGAGTATGTACATGTATGTATGTACATATAGGTGTGTTCACATGCAGTTCCACCAATGGTTACACAAGGACCTTTCATGTGACAAGGACGTCACCCTACTTACCCATGGACTATCCATGGTGACCGGCAACTCCAACCTGGTATCTGCAATCACTTTACGTATGGCATTGCGGACCTTGCGCCGGTACTCTACCACTTCCTCCAGGGGGGGCCACTTGAAAGCACCCCCCATGCGATAATTTTCCTACAGTCAACAACAACAGCAACCGCTGACAAACACAAATACACATGTACCCCCAAAATATGCAAACAACCTCATTTCTATGCAAATAAATTCAATACTGCCAGGAGGATCACATTTTTACAAACAGAGAAGTACAGTTCCTTTTCTACGAGACATACATTTTCCAAAGTTTGCTTTTTATATGATAGAAAATCTTAAGCTCGTTGTTCTAAAATCCATTTGTTTCAAAATGATTTTTGCCAACGGTTGTTTGAGATTTTTTCAAGTTTGTTTTAACAAGATGTATTCTTTGGAGAAGAAAAGTATAAATTTACAGAATAGTTTAAATTGTTGTTTGAGTATTTTTTCAGAAAAAAATGAAGTTTACAAGATGAAATGGAGAAATTGTGGACATTTACTGTGTCAGGTCAGCAGGTTATTTAGGCAAGGCATACCCAGCAAGGTTAGGCACCATAAAATGTCTCCTAACAACTTACATGTATCGGGAGCAAAGTGATAAATCATTGATAGTGAAAGGGATCAATTCCAAGATATTTTCAATCAAATAGGAGAAGCTTCCTTTTACGTTCCTCTTATTCTATCTCTTCCTTTTTTCCCTTTTTACAAATTTATCAATTTTTTTTGGGGGGGGGAGCTAGCACCCTTAAAAATTAATCATTTGACAAAGATGAGCATTTATGTTTACCGGCATGTGCGTTTATTACGTGTACATGTAAGTCTGAAATATGAAGCCATCTTAGAGCCGATGAAGAATAGCAAAGGAATGCTTTTGTCTCATTTATTTGAATAGCTTGGCTTGGTTTCAGCACAATGGGACTTGTGACAAACTCCAATACAACACTCCATTAATTCTTCAAGTTGACTGCCCACAAGCATTAGTTTTATAGCACAGTTCTTTGGTAATTTTTCGCTTTAACCAAGACACCTAAAGAACTCCATTTGGGGACTTGCTCCAACGATCACACTCACCGTGTCGTCCCAGGACTGCTCATCCACGCCCGTCTCAAACATGGTCTCAAATTCAATGTTCAATCGCCTGTCTACCAGGCCTGCCAGTAGCATCTTGTTCCAGTAGACCACGGCAGTGTGGGCATAGTAAAAGATGAGGGGCAGTCGCAGACGGTCTGGGCACATGTAAAATGCCTCCTTGGCTGTCAAGGAGAAATGTTATCACCATTGCATTTTCATTTCACTTAATGGCATGATGTTTTATATTGTAACAGATAAAACAAGAGCATTATAAATTAAATAAGGCTGACTCTCACAGATACAAAATCCTTTTTAACCACTTTAATGTCGGAGGGGTGTAAAAAATGACTTGGCAGCCTGTATTTTGCAAGCATAGCTGAAAGGTTAAAATACTAACTGGTGACTATTCCCGAGTCTATGCTGGCAATTAGAGGCTCAGGACCAAGTTACATACATGTACATGTATGCACATAATGATCATTATTATAATTTCAATCATGGACTACGTAATACGAATTTGGTACATGCACCACACGGTCAGTGTGCAGTCTGGATTTCCTCAATGTCCCACGGCCCTGATAATTTTCCATACGAGCACAAATCATTTCCTTGGATAGAGGAATCCTTTCCCCAAGACTCTACTAAAATAATGAAATCTACTAAAATCTACTCCTCTATAATGAGGTAGGTTTAATGGATCATTTTACGAATGGCCGATGCCTGATGTTCTCACAACTGCTCCCATTCCACTTTTAAAATCACTCCACCACCGTTGGAAACATCTTCAACAAACACACTTGTGGCTCACTTGCTAGTAAAATTTTCCAAACTGTCTTTTCTCAGTCCACCAAAATATTACAAGTACACAAAGCCATCAGGCTGCTTAACCCCATTTTTTTCCAACACCAGCTTCAACCAAATTTTCTCGGCATCAAAAATAAGTTAGACAAAGTTCAGACAATCAAGTCCCTGGCTAGGCATGTTCTAGCTATTCCTATCAGCCTCATTCCAGTGACAAAACCTAACACCAAAAGAAATTTAAATGAATGTCAACAGTACATTTAAATTTAGGTTGAGATTTTGAACTTGTCAAATAGCAGCATAGACTATGCCAAGGTCTGTTTGTAGAGCAGCTAGGCCTGCTGGATGCACCGTAAATTGAATGAGGAAGGATGCACAGACCAGGTGTTCAGGTTGAAGGCCCCACACGTTGCTCATGTGTGGTGTCAGGATGTGACATTTTGAAGTGATAGGCCTATTATCTAGTGCCAGTGTGTGAATGCACAAGGCGGGTGATATCCCAAACGCTGGCCAGTTTCTATTAATGAAACCTGGTTAACAATATACTGGTATAACTTTTGCAATCTCCGAAGTTTGACATTTGTGTATTACATTTGTGTGTGCATGACATTTCCAATGTTAAACTGTCAAATCATGTATGTGCACATGTACATGATGTAACAATTGTGCAGGTGCGTAAAATTCATGTAAAAGTAAAATGTACACAGGCAAATTAACATGAAAATGATGTGAGGTATTTTTTCAAAACCAGATGTTTCTGGACAGAGCTTGAAGTGGAAATACAGCGTATGATACACTCAAATGTATTTTATGTTCGTCCTAACCACACAATTGTCACAGACATTGTCACAGACAGTCCAAATTCAAAAGACGAAGCCACGTCCATCACTGTTATGGCACATATCTAGATTTTAACCAATTTTTAACCTGGTTTTGACCATTTTTTGACAAGTATGATGCTGTATAGCTATTCCAGCTCATTATCATTTTTGAGGGGAGTCTGATAAGGAAATGTACAGTATTATTGTTTTGAAGTTCTTTTCCGTAAGTCTGAAAATCTTCCTACAGATATACATGTAGAACTTCAACAAGGAAGCATCGTTTCCATGAGAGAATCAAGTTCCCGATTACTCTGAGCCTTCATTGGCTTTCACGCACAAGGCCCTTTCAAGTTAACTGTTTTTAAACATCCCTCTCCCTAACTTCAATTGTGCCCCTAGATTCCTAGTCATTTTTCTGGGGTGTAGGGGTTGCTTTCAGTACTGGTTGAGACCAGGGTTGATGGGTACACTATGCGCCCCATCCATGTTTATTTTGGACATGTTGGAACGAGCTGGACTTTCATCTACAGAATGCTTAGCTGACCCTGGACCTTAATTGAATCCACAGTCCATCCAAGAAAGAAGGTAACATCAGGTAATGGTTGCTCAGTTGTATCTCCACAGTGGCTCAGAGGCTTTTTTGTTATTTTAATTTAGTTACAACAAAACACGGTTACTTCGAGCCTACCCCACTGATGCAAAACGCTCTGAGGGTGAGTTAACAACAGTGTCAGAGAAAAGGGCTTGCGTTTTGTCCAGTTCCAGGACTATTTCCTTTCAGGGTGGTTCCGGTACTCATTGTTAAGAGGAGCTTGTTGCATGCACATACTGTAAGCTTCGCAAGCTTGCATTGGCACAACAATGAACCCCCCTCCCACATGCGCCCTCAAAGAGGGGGCGTAATTCTTTGCATGCTGGCCTAAATGGACAAAGAACCAGTGAAATATGCCCGTGACCTCATGACCGGTTGGTTTGTGGGGTGTACCAGGGGGCTGGGCAGGGGTAAAGCCCATTATCTCTGCAAGCAGTTTATCACTCTCAGCTTATGCAACCAGTTGGAAAACAGCATTTTGGAGGTGTGTGTGTGTTTTGTGGGTCAAGTACGATAATCACCCAGCACCAAAATAGCTGTACAGTACTTTGTAGTGCCTTGTCATTTCAAGGAGACCCTTGACTCATTCTGAGCGGAGCCTTGGTACACCAGAAATTTCCATGTGTGGGTTCACACTACATGTACTTATCTACCACAGCAAATACACATTTTATCTCACTGACATGACTAAGAGTTGAGTATGGATATTTTTTTTTTTTTCATTTTGGTTGCTTTTTGTATATGTAATACAATAGATTAAGGTAATAATCTATTGCTGGTGTTCTGTACTTACTGTTTCTTCAAAACATTCGGTCAAGGTTAGAGTCTTTTGTTAGTGTTGTATACTGGCTATTTATTCAAAACAGTATAGTCCAGACGGTGGTGAAGTAAGACTTACTTTTGTCCTTTATGGTCCGATGAAACAGTGGCTTGGTGATTTTTTAAAACAAAATTCAATCCCTGTGTATTCCTTAACAAAGCAGATTTCATCTAAGGCAGAAACAATGAGCAAAGCTGCTCATGTGCATGCAAATACTGTCCAAATTTTCTGCTGGTTGGTTCTCCAGTTTTGGGGATGTTCCTTTGTACATTTAGCCCCCCCACATATAAACTTTATAATCCACACTTGCCTGCATATGAACTCTATCAGTAAGTTACTGTAGTGAGCTACATTGAATTTAAACATCCAAATCAACAAACTGAAACAAATTAGCACTTGCAAAGAAGTGCAGAGCAGAATACAATGGGCTGGAAAAAAAGCAAAATCGAGGCACTGAGAGAACTAATATCTAAATGGTGAAAGATCCTAAATGGGTTATTCCATGAGGTTGGGGCACAATTTGTGACGGTGTCCTTGTTACAGCACCTGTCATGACCTGTAGAGTAGGTCATTTACTCTGTAAAAATAACACACACCTCTGTATTCAACCTTGCGAGATGTATAATTTGGAATCCACATAGAGGGAGATACATAGAGCTGTTTACTTTACGGAACCCACGTAACAATGGACACCGTCACAAATTGCGCCCAACCTCATGGAATGACCCAAACGCAAAACTAAGCTGCCTTAGAAAAATACAGTGAACCCAACTGCACTTAACATGCATGCTAATGTCTTCAACCCGTTAATTTGTAACGTTGCAATTATAATTGGCATGGATATTAAAACGGGAGAAAAAGTGCATGTTATACATGTACTAGTACAAAATATTTCAACCCAAGCTACTTCACTTCACACACATACGGGAAATCATATATTTGAATATTTTTTGAAACTGTACAATTAACTTCATGGCCCTTACAGCCAAGTTTTATATACATGTACATGTATGCTGTACTTGTACTTACCAGCCAGAGATGTAAACAGACTCTCATTTAAGCTGTAGGAATTCTCAAAGTAATCCAGTATTTCTCTGCAAATGCCAAAGAGAAACGATTTTAATGACAAATTGTGACTACTGCTGCAAGATTTGCTTGGGTGCATGATAGGAAATGGAGCACAGCATCAGGAGTTGCTAAGGTTCCTGTTTTTAACAAGTCTACATGTAGGCACAGATGTGATGACAGCTAGAGATATCCTCTGATGTCATAACTGATGACTACATTTTTCCTTTGAAAATGAGCATATGGAAATGTTGGGGGAGCCTTCCAAATCACTAGCGAAAGGGAACAATTAATTTTGTCCCAAACTAGTACATGTTATATATCTGGAACATGGCATGTACATGTATGATTTGTCAAGTTCCATTCTCACACTACCATACAATGGAATTCCATCATTGCCCAGTTTAGAATTTGCACAATCTTTCTGTGGGAAAAGGAGAAGACACTTTCTCTGATAAAAGTCCTTAACATGGTTCAGAGCTAAATGTGCATGTACAGGTAAGAGAGGAAGGCTGTGGGTATGATTGAACAAATAGCTTGCCATGGAACCTCCTAAATGTCCAAATGACATGATGTGCAATACTCGGAGTCTTTTGGTAAAAATCAATTTTCACAATAAGCGTCAAAATGCTCCGCCCCATAATTCCTGCCTAATCCCCACCTACAGTACAACTACAAGTACAGTCAAACACAGATAGAAGAGCACTGATAATGCACACGAAGTTATGTTTATAACAAGTACAATTCCAGGTCCCTAGTCTTTGTTTCTCTTTGTTTTCTATTACTGATAACACAAGGTACAAGTTCTAATGCCACTACCCACTAATAAGACATCAAATCTTAAAAAAACAATTCAACGTGTACTTACTCTTTTGTGCAAGAGGACAGATTGCATGGTTTCTTTGACTTCAAGGTGTAATCACCCGTTAACACATTCAAAGGATCCATTTTGAAGAGTGCTTTACTTGGATGTTTGGTATCTGACACAGTGTTTTGGGTCTTGTTTCTGTTTGAGTAAAGGAGGAAATAATCGAAATTTACATCGGAAGAAAGCCATCAATTTTACACAAAAATTCAAACATCCAGGACTCCTCTTTTGCTTTTGGTTATTACCCTACCTGTATGAAGGTAAAGACAGAACACTCCGAAGTTAAAATAATCGTCGCAATAGCTGTCTGTTAACTACTGAACCGTCCAAAGGTTTTCTTCAATTACCAAACGGCTGGCACGGGGTCTGTTATTTATACCCAGTCAACCAACCCTCACCACAGTTCACTCAGCTGCACTAGCCAATGAGCATTGTCTGTCTACATTATATGTATAGTCTAGCTTCTCATTGGCTTATCAGCCACCTTTAATTTGCATAAGAAGTGATTGATTTTGCACACTCCCCTCAAAAGATTCGACACGTATCTGATATGCCAACCTTTTCTACTACGGAATGTTGGCTCTACTTTTGTGTCAGGAGAAAGCAAAATTCAGTTTTCCTTTCAACGTCATAATAATGGCACATACAGGCTATAAAATCCCACCAATTGTCCCCACCATAACAGACAGAAAATTTACTTTAAACAAATGCATGTATGTTAGAAAAAAAATCTCTTGCAATGTACCTACTTGTAGTTCATGTATACACCTATCCCCTTCACTTTCCTTTTTTGGCTAGGAACCAAACCTTTATTTCTGTATTATATTCATTCCTTTATTTACTTTTTTTTGGGGGGGTGTTACATATTACCCTCCTTAACAGTGGGTAGGGAGATCAGAGAACTTGACATATTTCTTAACCCTAACAGTCCCAAAATCCTCCATTTTCAATAGGATTTGTAATTTTTATAGGTTTATTTACTACCTCGGCATCTCAGATGCATTTTCTCAAACTGCTGAAAGGTACTGTACGGCAAGCACACTCCATGTCAGAGTCCCAAATTTTCAGACTACGCAAGCGACACATTAACGGAGGATTTTCATCAGCTGGGCTATTCCAGCCACCATTTCGGCAGTGATTATAGGCCTACTTTTATATTTTGTTACTGTCCCTTCTGTTTCTCTTCTTGTTTTTTCCTCAGTCTAAGCTTCTGGCCCGGTATCTCTACCTTCATCTCATCTTTTATCCTTCCAACTCTTGCAGTTCAGCTTACCTAAAAAGATAAAGTATTGCCAGAAGAGTACACTGAACCCCACCGTATTGATCAAAAGTAAGGGTGGGACATTTACATGTTTAACGTTTAAATGAAAAAAGTTTCAAATCCGTTAACAGATTTTTCCAAACATTTAAACAGAACTGCCCCTGTTAGAGGTTTGAGATCTTGATTGACACAATCTGTTGTTCATTTTATTGTAAACGTTGCCTCTTACATACTGTTTTTTCCTTTCAGCATCCATGTAAAAATTGGATTCTAAAACAATAAAGATTGCCTTTTTGAAATGCCACAACATCAATCTACATGTTCACATTGGTTGGACCATGTGCATTGCTGTGTATAGTCCTTGGATAGATTTTCTCTGCTTGTACACATTTAATATTGTGATGGTGCACGTTTATCATATGCTTTAGTTACGCCATTCATATTTTGTAGTTTTGTATTTGAGTTGGATCATCCATGGAGGTCAATTTGCAACAACAGGTTATGATGTAAAGTGGAAACCACTAATACAGTTATACCTGGGTGAAAACCACACTTTATGAGATATCTCTGATATTTGGACAAACAGTCCATTGACGTCTAAAATTTCAATATTTAAAACTTTTAATTGTAAGGTGGTAATCTAGTGTATATTTATATTGTTTTTATGATCTAAATATGGTAGACATCTGAGGTTGTACATATCAAAAATTGTCTGCAAAGAATTTGTAAAAGAACTGTCCTTTAGTAATTATTTCAGATTGCAATTTACTCTTTCTTATCTTTGCGGTCACAGTGCCAGGTTTGCATTGGTAACTGTGACAGTGCCAGAAAATTCAGAATTTTTTTCATGCAACTTAATTGTATGGACTTTCTGCAGGGCAAGGTTATATTTACAGGCTTTCTGCAAGCTCTCTGAAGGGAAAGTAAATAAAATAGACAAAACTTTCTGCCTTTCTCTCATGATTTGAAAAAAAATCTTGGATTCTTTTATTGGGTGGGGCATCAATCTTCCACTATAAATATAGGAAGCTTATTGTGCTACTGATCAAGGGAGGGAGGAACTGGACATCATTTATCTGATCACTGATCAGGTTGACCACTGTGATTTTGCCTTCTCTTTTTTCAGTTTTAAATGAGCTCATATTTTGCGAACATATTTATGAGTTCTAAATCTTAGTAATTACAATATCGATCAGTCTGTATCTGTGCATAGGTGAAGTTTTTTATGACAAGTGTTTGTATTTTCTCTTTTTTGTTTGTCTTTAATTACAGCTGTAAACTGCAGGTCTCAGCCATTGGTTGTCAAACAGATACGTAAATTAGTGTACCGGCTAATAAGACAGGTTGGGCTACTAAATTAGTATCACTGAGAACAAGGGGAAACAGTGAAAAATGTGCTAAACGTTAACAAGATAAACACGTGTGTCCCTACAGAAATAATGAAGAATCCTTTCTGTGTTTTTGCCATTTCATCACCTTTGATAATCTGGATGAAATCAGGGATTGTAAGTACATTGGTAAAATATGAATTGAGTCTCAAACATCCCCAGCTTTGATGGTTTAAACAAAATGATGGCTGGATAAATAGCCTTGTTTGTTTTTATTTTTTTGCAGGACTGCGTGAATTTGGAGAAACATACTGGAGTCTTCATCCATTCTGTGTACATGTTCATAGTGTACAGATACTTGAAACCAAAGTACATGTACGTTCTGGACCCACTATATTTCTGTAAGCTATGATACCAAACAGGATATCAGAGTTACTGATTTAAAAATTTCATGAATCTAAAAATCTACATTCATAACTTGGCAATCCTTACTTTTATGAAAAATCGCAACCAGCAAAACTGAGGTACATGTACAAAGAAGGTGTCCTTCACTTCAGCGTACATTAAAAATGGTCAAATTTTTAAATACTTCTCCACTCCAACTGAGCACTGTGGACTACAGCTAATACTGGCACAATCTATACTGATCTACAATATTGTATTCAACAAAATTTGTTTTCACTTATCCATGCATAACAACCCAGGTTGGACACCGGTCTTTACGTAGTAACCAGTATAGTGCGGTAAGGGAGTTCACTTGGGGCCGAATACATGAATAATGCACACGAACAAGTACATGTACAGCGATCGAGTGCATAGCTTATCATAATACACCACGCTACGCGCACTGCATGACTTAGCACAATCATGGAGGAAGGAGGGGACAGTGCTAAGGTGCTTCGTAAGAATGTTGGTAACGTCACAGTCCGCGTTTCGTTCATAACATCCGACTGTAATTTGTAATAAATGATCCTTACGTTTTCCGACGGCAGTGTTTTCGTCCAGAAAGCCTAATGTTCGTGCAGTTGCTTGCTCTATGATGCAGTCTATACTGGCCTGGACACACACCTTTCCACTTGTCAACCACATGGGGACGACAGGTGCAATGACACTCTCACTGGTGGTCACCACAGACAACGGGCGTATCGAGCTTTCTGATTGGCTCTCTAGAAACAAGCTTTGGCCGTGTCCGAATCAGGTGACTGCAGTCGGCGCCGGCCCGGCCATCATCGTCAAGCGAGTTTCTAGTTCGTAGTTGACTTCAGCCGGAACTCGGTGACATAGGTGATCGAGGGCGTCATTTACTTCCAGCCGATGGCCAAAATAGTCCCCGACGCTGTAGGGGGCACCCCTACAAATAAATTCCCATAGACAGCAGTGATAAATCCCCATACTTCACAAATATTTTTAAAAAATACTCACAACTCTCATATGTGTTCAGGCTGCATAGAAAAATGATGTTCCACATGTCCTCTTTCATTTTCTTTTCAATTTTTAGTGGGTTGGCCAATGACTTTTTGAGAAAAAGCAGACCACCTCTAAAACGAAGGAAATCTCACTGCCTGGGAATGTAGCCATTTTGAAAGTGCATCCCTCTGCAAAATGGCCAAAATTAATAGTGCCACTTTCGGATCCGACTGTGTCCAAATTGCTCAGAATTGGAAGCCTCAAGTCCGACCCAGAGGTTCAATGCCATATTTCTTCAATTCCCCACTTCCATGGCTCTCAGGACCCTCTAATATAGAATAATTGAGTGCATAACTTTTATCAATGAGCTCGGCGGACATATTTCTGACCTAAATGCAAGGGTGCACCTTGTATGAGCATGCATGGACGCGCACGTGGCCATTACCTGAACCACTAAGGAAGGACTTCTTTATCTCAGCGTGGTGTTCTCTGGACTTGATGACAAGTTATTGGACTCTTAGTTGCGTTTTATCCTGTGATCATCTGTGGCCGAATTTTGACTTACTTAACGACCTGACAAATAGATTACGCAGTCCTTGCTCCAGCGTAACGGCGCAATAGAATTTTCTTTTGCCTGTCAACCATTCTTTTGTATGGATGGCCAAAGTTTGTAAAACGTTCCGTTTTTGCAACAAATACTGCCTTTACAATTAATATTTGGTATAAGTATTCAGCATTAATGGATGTAGTATTTGTGCCAGATTTTTTAATACTTTGGGAACTATTTATCCGTTTTGTACTTACGGCAAACCACAGTTTGGGCAAAGGCACGTACGTTCCAAAAGAAGGCTCTACATGTTCAGTTTATGCATTGAAAGTCAATGAATGGCACAGTGCTAGCTGCGTAAATAAGCGAATTCATCCAATAGTTATTCAGGGATGTTTCTTGGTCCATTGCGTATTAAAATCAGTATTTTATTGTTGTAAAATATTTGATTTGGGTCATCTCTCAAAATTGATTTTGTAATATACACAATACAGAATACTCCCCCCCCAGTAGTGATTACATGTAGTCATGCCCTCTTCATTTGGGGCGATGTATACAGCAACCGATTTTGGCGAAATCGACATCGTCGCGTTGCTCATATCAAGTTTTTCTCTTGGCTACAAACCTGACAGCGTATATTGACATTAGTATAAGGGTGCAGACCACTAATTCAATTGAGAATTTCTGACAAGCTCATTAGCATTAAAAGTCCCCCCTTCCACAGTATCTTTTGAAAAAGGAGATTGTTTTGCCCCCAAAATGGTGAGATTGTGTAAATCGCCAGGATCAACTCCTGGGTCTTTGAGCTTTCATATGAGGGCAGAAGGGCTGAAAACTACGGTTGAAAAATGGTCATAAGTGCCCGAGAAAGTTCAAGGGTTGCCACTTGAAAAATGGCTGCAATCAGACTTCGGAAAAATCACTTTTTG